CACCATTTCCTACCAATCGCTTTGCCTTCGAATGACCTTTGCTTCCAGAGCCCTCATCTTACTCGCCTTCCTTAGAATTTTCCAGCATTCATCTTCTTTTAGGTAAACACCTCGTCACCATGTTTTATTTTGACTCCGACCCTAAATGCTATGAGCTCCCGAACTTCTCGAGGGTGAACTCCTACCGGACCCCACCACCCATCACCTCCAGCCGAGATTCTTCTATGGCCAAGGTCCCTGCCCCGAGGCATGAGGTCGAGGTGTTGAGGAAAAGGAACCATCTTCATGATCAAGGAAGTAACTAGACATTATAATGGAAGTGGGATGGTGAGGTAGCAAAGGGTGGTCTCCTTGAAGGAAGAAGATTATTGCAAATCACTAATGATGAGATAAAAAAAGGGGAAGGTGTAGGAAAGAGGAATTATTGAAGTAATGGGGAGCAAGAGGAATTGAGAGGTTGGAAAAGCCAAGAATTCAAAGGTAAGTCTCGTGCGTAGGCTCTCGGGTCTCTTCCTTTTATAGAGGAGATCCCGAATTCATAAGGAGAAATGCCCAAATAAGAACTTTTACCGTTAGGAAAGAGGATCACAATTCTCTAGCCTTTATTGGGTAAACTCTATTGGGACTTTGCAACGTGTCCATTGAGGATCTTCTGCGACTAGGATTTCCTCTTCCCTTGTGATTCTCATGTGGTACATCTTGGCTACATCCTCCCAGAGTTTTTCCACAATCACGTGTTGGAAACAAAGTTCCTTCAAGATGGTGACATGTCTAGATAAATTGGCAACTACAGAGAAATGAGTCACTACGACTCCTCATAGAGCAAGGGGGCATACTTTGATTTTGTAGTACTAACCGGATATGGGTCACATATTTAACATATCCCAAGTGCGAGTGACCTACATTCGCTTTGTAGATCATCCTTTGACCCTTGAGGGAATCTATCGCAGCTAAAGATCATTGGACTGCTACCGTTGCAATGCCTATTGCAACTGTGTTAGTGACTTATTTTCCATTATCACAGTCCTCATCATAAGTTGAATTCTTTGTGTGTTTGCGATTAAGGTACTCATTGTAAATTTTGCAATGTCGAATTACATGTACTTGCAATCAGCTCCCTTCTTATTGATAGAAGTTTTTCTATCAATAAAAAAGATTTCTTTTTATTCTTTCACCTATTGCAGTATGATGCTTAACTTGAGTTAAAGTGGGTATGGTGATTTCACGTTTTTCCTTTCGAATTGAGATTAGGGGCTTTGCTCTCTGTTGGGAGCAGAGTGGTGGTGAAGGGCAAGAAAAGAATTCATGTGTTTAGTTTATAGTATGGAATATGACAAATGGGTTCCTTGCATTATTGTTATTTTCTTGTCTTCAATAGATTATTAGCCCCCTTGCTTATTGATAGAAGTTTTGTTGGCTTATCGTCTTCTTAAGCGGTTGGTCAACATCTACTGGTTTGGATTAATCATTTGAGGTAACTGGTGTCATAGGCGGCAATTGTAGCTTTATATGGATCATGTGCAGGTATGCACAACTTTTTAGGGGCATATCAGTAATTTGTATTTATATTTTGCCTTCGGTTATTTTCATTTTGTATTTTGAAAAGAGATGGACCGTCACTCAGTTATGTTGATCTTGATGCATGGGAGACTTGTGGCACATGTGGGATCGGTTTTTTTTGGTTTTCTTGTTAGGGTTTTGCTTAATTAGTGAACAAGTAAGAGTGTGGTACCATATGCTTCTATTTTTTGGTTTTCTTGTTAGGGTTTTTTCGATATTAGAATTGCAATGGCTCCTCATAGGTAGAAGCAATTTGTTCAGGAAGTATGGCCATTTGTTACCTACGTACAAACTCTTGATACTACCGAGTTGCTAGCGTAGTTTGAAAAGGCGAAGGCGAAAGATTGTGGCAAGGGTTTCTGGCCCCAGTCCCAGTGGCATTAAGGGAAGGTGGTTCGTATGATGTTATTGAAGGGTAGGAGCTTCTGTGTTTATACAAGTAGTATAAGTAGTCTATCATTTATTGTTTTCTTGAGCCTAAGACAAAAGTTCTAAAGAGGGGGTTGAAATATTCGACTTGGGTGACATATATTTTAGAAAATCTCATGTATTATAGGATTGTCCATTCTATTGGTCTTTCTAGATTAGTCAATTGCTACATGCATCTCCCTGGTATTGAAGGGGACAATTTGATGGAGACTCTTCTCGCCCATTGATGTTGTCAGATGCATACATTCTTTGGTTCATTTGGTGTGTAACTATGGTGGTCAGGCTACGCGGGAGTGGTCTCCTTGAAAGACAAAGGAAGACCGAAGGCAGGGAATCAACTGGGAAGCTAGGGCAAAATTGTTTGATTCCCATTAGGAAAGGGAATATTAGATTGAATGAATGAATTCACTATGAGTAGGACCCTCATTTATAAGAAGGGATCCCGATGTCCTAAAAGAAAGGAGTCAAAATTGTTTGATTCCCATTAGGAAAGGGAATATTAAATTCGTTGTTAGTCATTAAGGAGCTCTGCTAGGGTTTTGCCAGACATCCTATGAGATCTCTCAAGGGCAAACTTTCATTTCATCTAAGGATTCTAATAACACGCGTGTGCTACTTCCTTTTGTGACCTACTTAACCGACATGGCGCAGGTGACGTCATTGCTTAGGGGTGCATTTTTACTTAACCTACATGGTGCCTCATCATGTGCGTAACTTAAAGTTGCACGTGTAGCCGATATTTAACTTCGGTTCATAGTGACCCGCGGTTCTGTAATGGTTTCGGGTTCATCGCAGGACCGTACATATCCAAAGTTCATCGCAGAACCGCGTGTATCCGAGGATTATTGCAGAGCCACGTGCATTCAAAGCTTATCGCAGAACCGCGTATGTTTGAACTTTGTTGTGGATTAATATTAGCTAATGTTTATCTTGGCTTGTGTCGGGTATAAGTTTATCGCGAACGTGTGATAGGTCATATGTCCATTGCAGACGTTCGATGAGTTATACGCTCATCGAAGGTAACCGATAAGTTATGAACTCATCGCAGGCGTCCATGTTGTATCAATTTGGTATCTTCTGTACTTTGATGGTTTAAGCGATCACTATGTACCTACATTAGCCTCCCTACTTATCGATAAGCATTTCATCCTTAAAGTTTTCCTGAGGTTTTGTAATGAATCGGTACAAAGAGGGTGGCTTGTTGGGTCTTTATGCATTGACAAGCAAAGAAACGTCGAGTATGGGCTTTCAGTCCTCTTGTATGTTGAGATTATGTCTGTTGTGCATACACAATGCTAGTTAATAGTGGTAGACTGGGTGGCCCTTCACATTCAGTTACTGTTGAGGGCAAGGAAGACATTGGGTGTCGATGATCTGGCAGTCATCATTAGCGATTTTCTTAACCGTCGTATCCTCTTAAGTGCAGTCCATTTGTGCATGTGGCCCAGATGTGCTATATTACTTTTAAGATGGCGGTTGCTGACATGGTGCTTCTTTGCATCGTTTTGTCCCACCCTCTAGAGGGTATATTTGTAAATTTGTATACATTTTTTTCTCATTAAGCGTCGGCTGAAGGACTGTAATCATGCTTGTTCTTCTTCCCCGGCGATGTTTGCCATTCCCAACACATGAGTGGATTCCTATAAAAGGGTGGTATGCCCATGCGCGCTACTTATCGTGTGCTCTCCTTATTCTTAGGCGATTTGCTCTCTGTGTGATCATTGTCTTCCTATAATCCCTCATTTCTAGCTTTTCCAATTTCTTAGCTTCACTTTTGTTTGTCAATCATGGCTCCTCGCCAGAAGAAATCTGAGTGCCCCTTCGTTGATTTTGTTAGGGAAGTCGATACAGAAGAAATGCTATCTAAGCGGGAAGCAGCCATGGTGGCTGATGGGGGAAGGGGTTTATGGCCTCAAATGCCGATGGCCAGGGGTGAGGGTGGTGCATTCGATGACGTTGATGGCTCTGAATTGATGTGTCTCTACGGTCGACTGAATTGATCGATGTCATTCAAGTGTCAGGAACCCAGGACTAATAGCTCAAAATCACCCAACAGTTATTCCGGTCGGGAATGTTACGTATTAGAAAACCCCATGTTTTGTCAGCTATTGAAGGATGCCATCCTTCTCCTCTTTGTGGATTGCTTTCTAGATCTCCCTGGTAAAGAGGGAGTTAGTTATGTAAAACCATTGTTGGACCACTAGTGCTACCGTATCCACACATTTGTGGGTGCATTCGGTGAGTTCACAATCATCGTTGAAGATGTCGTCGCCTTTTTGGTGGGGTGGTGTCTGCCCACCATCTGCAATTTCCTGAGTTCTTACCAAACTATCGGGGCTCTATGAGGAGCTATTATCAAAGATTGCAGAGTTTAAGTCTCAAATAGATTAGTCGATTGCGTGTGGTAAAATGCCACTTGAAGCGTGGGTTGCTTATTGGTTTGAGTCTAACAAAAGAGGAGATGTAATGGTGCATTGAGGAGAGAGTCAATGTCAACTTGCAGCATTTATTTTATATCTTGCGTCGCGTTTTTTCTTTCCAGGGCTACCTGACTATGGTCTCCGTACAGTTTTGGTCCCTCTTGCCGTGATGGCTGCCGAAGGTCATCAACTTCCATTAGCCTCCATGTTTCTAGGATATTTGTTCGAGTAGCTAGACGACGTTGTGCATCACAATGACACGAGCCTCAAGAGACGTATCATCTATGTTTTTGCTCCATTTCTTGTTCATGTACATATGCGAGCGTCTAGAGCTCAGTGTGACACCCCGTCCTTTCTCTCCGATGTGAGTCAGCATTGCAACTTTGAATGGGGATAAGACTTAAGACCACACATTGGGGGTTTGCCATGGAAAGCGATGAGTTCATGCGACAAGGCAGAAGGACTTAGGGGTGAATGAAGTCAAATTAAGGCTATTGTCCATCAAAGGTTTTGTGTGGAGACAGTACATCCGTCGTGTTCGGCATGCCATGTCGTTTTGTGTTGGCACTATTGTTCTTGAGGATGGTGACCAATAGTGTGCTGTGGAGATGACACATCTCGTCGTGGGTGTGGTGCACCTCATCCTGTGGCCTAGTGTGATCACATATATAGACCGCATCGGTGAAGCTCAAGTTGCGGCCTACCGCCCCAATCAAGTCCTACGCCAATTTGGGTTCAATGATTTAGGTGCTCGGTTTCTATGTTCCTCAGGAGAAGATGTCTTTTGGGTCTGCCAAGATGATCTAGCATTTCCCGAAGGTTCCTGGTTCCCCATTGCAGGGTATGCGAGGGTCTAGAGTTGCAAGTCTCTCCATTTCGCCTATCTCTGTGCCTTGTTCAGGGGTTTACAAATTTATGTGATCAAACCCCCGCCCTCACCATGTCTTGGCTCCTCCTGAGGGCCATGATCAAGAGCAGCCACCAGCCAATCCCCCACCTAGCTTGCCAAAGGGAAAATTCATGGGTGTGCTTTGAAAGGGGAAGCGCCCCATCGTTGAAGAGGGGGAAGGTAGTCATCCTGTAGTGAAGAGACCTAGATCAGCGAGGGTGCCTCGCACTGCTTTTCCGCCTACACTAGCTGTACCGTGTGCCCCCACATCAGACATAGTGTCATCCTAGGTTGGGGACAATCCAGGCAGACGTTCTCCACAATCGGACCAAGAGGAGGTCAGGCCAGAGCCTCCAGTCCCCACGCCTGAAGCAAGGAATGCACTTGATACAGAGTCAACACAGTCAACAGAGCTTATTCTTGTTGAGAAAGTTACCTCTGTCCGCATCTCGGGTGGACGTGTGAAGAAGATTGCTCCCCGTCCTCGACGGAGGGAGCCTGAAAAAGTCGATTTGGTAAGAACTTTTATCTTTCAATGTGTCTGCTTTACCATTTGTTTGCGATGTATATGTTACTGTAACTAACATGTGTACAGTCTTTTGTTTTGAAGTGTGTAGAGGTTGAGGGCACCCAGTCGGGCACTGAGACTCCATAAGTCTCCTGCGATGATGTTGTGGGTGAAAAGGTATGTGTAGCTTCGCCAAGTGTATTGCTTTTGTACTGTGATTAGTTTATTGTACTGATCGTTTGTGATTTGTCTCATTGGAGGTGCCTTTCGATGTCAATCCTGCTACCATACCAATTTCGCCGATCATCAGGTGACTAGTTTGCGAGTTACAATCGTCGCAGCCCCCCAGTCAGGGTCGGGAGGTGAGTGAAAACCCTTCTAGCGACCTAGTTGATGTTGAAGTAACTAAGGGCCTTGGCATTGATGGTACTACTCAAGCTGCTATCACTCTAGAAGAAGAAGCTCCCACGGATGCGTCGAAACAGATATGTGATGGCCTGGTTTGTCAAACCGAAGTTGCTCCAGAAGGCCCATCGGTTAACGATGCTCCTAAACCGCTAGTTTCTAGGTTGCGGCTGCTTGATACTGAGGCTCAAGAACCCACTATGGCTGAGGTGCTGACTGAGGCACCGTGTGAGACGATAGCGTTAGACATTCATAATGGGGAAAGGGTTATATCTGCTGACCCTGTTGAGACTGATGTTCCCGTAGGTTCAGAGGTCCAGCCCGAGAGTGAGACTACAGGCTTCGAGGCGAGATCGCCAGTCGAGGTGTTGTCATATGGCGAAGAGCTTGGACTAGTCTAGGAGGAGCTTAAGGAGTACTGTGCCAAGAATGACATCGACCCTCTGGGCTATGCTATCATAGACCTTGTCCATATCCAAGGTCCTCGTAGAAATGACAAGTATTCTGTATCTAACTCAGTGGCAAATTTTGCTTTAGTCATCATTTAGAACGGCTGGTTACCATCCACTGACATCCTCCCGGTGGTTATAGGGACGACCCTAAACACTATCATAGCGATGCATCACGAATCAATCTAGCGACGAGCTCTCGTAATTTGAGTTCGCTCAATGGTTGAGGACTTGCGAGTTTCTTTCTGCTTTCAAATTAGACCTGTTCATGGGCCGGGTGGCCCGACGGGCCGGCCCGGCCCCGCCCAGCCCCCGGACGGCCTTGAACAGGTATATGGGCCTGCGGGTTTTACCTCGTGCCAAAAAGCCCGACCTGCAATAAATTCGAGTCGGGCTCGGGATTTGCCAAAATAGCCCGGCCCAAGCCCGGCCCGGTCCGACTTATAATTAAACCTAAAACCCTAGTTGAATACCCCTCTTTTTTTCACCTCTTTCCCTTATTTTTCCAGCCGAACCCTTCTTCTCCACATCCTTTTTCCCTTCTTTATATTCTTTTTTTAATGTAAATAAATTTTGAATTTATATTCTTTTTTTAATGTAAATAAATTCTAATTTGTATTGATTATTGAATAGGGAAAATTTCTAATTTTTTTTATTAGGTCGGGCTTCGGGCTCGGGCTCGGGCTTCAGGCTTTTTATTAGGGCCGGGCTCAGGCCCAAGTTGTAGGCCCATTGGTCGGGCCGGGCTCGGGCTCAGGCCTGACATATTTCCATTAATGAAGAGTAAAAGCCCGACCCGAGCCCGGCCCGGCCTGGCCCATGAACAGGTCTATTCCAAATGAAATAGATTGAAGAAGGGGTCACTCTATTGGCCCACGCATTTTGGAAGGCCAGTCTCAAGGGGTCGCAATCTGTCTTTGGTTGGTCTCTTTGGTTGGTCTCTAAGGGCATGCTCCTTCATCTCAAGATAGTTGAAGCTAACCTTTTGAAGGCAACTGAGAAACTAGATGCCCTTCTTGAAGAGTGTGGCTGTCAGTGAAAGATAGTATCGTAGTACGAGGCAGAATGGAAAGACTTGCTGGATTTTGAGATGCAAAAGAAGGATTTGGTGAACATAGATAATATGAGGAAAGGCTGGTGTGCCATGTAAAAACACCTATGCTTTTTATCCTATAAATCAATCAAAATTTCTTGTAATGGAAAACTTTAGTTTTGGTCTATATTGGGTGTTAATTATGTTGCCTCATAATGATATGTCATTGTTGTGCCTTAGTGGGTTGATCGTGGCACCAACGGGCTACCAGGCCTTGTACAATCCTTAGTCCTGAGTTTCAGTACCCTTTTTACCTTAGCACTGTTACGCATACAATCCTTCGTCATGATCAAGATTGTAATTCAATTTCTTCACTTAAACTTTATCGCATACAATCCTTCGTCATCGTCATGATCAAGATTGGATAATAATGAGAATGATGAGATTCATCGCACACACTTAAAGTCGAGTATCCTCCGATGTGAAGTGAACTTTATCACAAACGAGTACTAGCACATGTCCTTTGGCCAAGTTTTTGTGCAAATGAAGAACATTCTTATTGCGAATAGTGTTCAGTCCAGAAATCGTAAAAAGGAGTTGGGTGTTGTTCCGATATCTAAACATTATCAAGTGCGAAAGAGTTATCATGATAACATATAGAAAGAAGGAATGAGCAATGAGGTGAGTATTAAGGTTCTCCATTGTAGAAAAAGGAAGTCAAGCTACTTTGTAGAAAAAAATAAGGTTCTGTCATCTATCTACGCCAGAGACGAACGTCATCGTGCATATACGGAAGCAAGGTTCTGTGTAGGCAATACAATTAGCCCCCCAACTGTAGTGTAGAAAAGTTCTTTAAGCTTCATCGCATACACTAGAGTTAACTATTGTGTTTTGTCAGTCATATAGCTTATTCGGGGTCATCAAAATTTCACCATTGGGAGGTGTTATACCATGACTGGATCTTTTTTGTGCATCCATGAGGACAAAACATCCCTGGTCCTATACCTGTATTCAGTATTCCTTACTTAGAATAGCAGTTCATTCCACATTGAAATGCACTCGTCTTGTTTTGCCATCACCACTGGGGTTGCTAGGACATATATGTATTTGCCTAGGGTTGCTAGGGCCTTCACATGGAGAATGCAGCATCGTAGAACCGGCCACGACATTGCGGAACTAGTTGCGGCATCATAGAACCAACCACGGCATCACGGAACTAGCTGCGACATCCTAGAACTGGCTAGGGAATGAGTGAGCGCGCCTAGGGTTGTCAGGGCCTTCACATGGAGCATTTGTGGAACCGGCCACGATATCGTGAAACCAGCCACGACATCGTAGAACCAGCCGCGACATCCTAGAACCAGCTAGAGTATAAGTGAGAGTGTGCCTGGAATTGCTAGGGCCTTCGCATGGAGCATGCAACATCATGGAACCAACCACGACATCGCAGAACTGGCCAGGGAATGAGTGTGCGCCTTGGGTTTCCAGGGCCTCCGCATGGAGCATGTGGCATCGTGGAATCGGCCACACTATTTTGGAACCAACCAGGGTATGAGTGTGCGCCTGGGGTTGCTAGGGCCTTCACATGGAGCATGCGACATCATGGACCGACCATGGCATCGCGGAACCAGTCGTGGCATCCCGGAACCAAGCAGGGTATGAGTGTGCGCCTACGGTTGCCAAGGCCTTCGCATGGAGCATGTGGCATCGTGGAACCGGCCACAACATCGCAAAACCGACCGCGATATCCTAGAACTGGCCAAGGAATGATAAGTTCATCACACAAGTTGTAGCAAATAAGACATTTACTCGTAAAGAATCATAACTTCATCACACTTTTCAGAATACATGAGTATATCAAATCTTCATCTCAAAGCGAAGCACAAAATATTCATCGCGAAAATTCAAGTCATTAATGTGTACATTTGAAGTTCATTGCATAATATTTTCAGTATAAGTATAGGAAACAACACATTTTTCATATGAAAACTTGTAAATTTTTCACTTCCAAAAGAAAACATGCAATACATTCATTTTCAAAGAATACATGTGACAAACATAACACATCTTGTACAATTTCATTCAAAGTATGGCTTCAACTAGTGACCATTCACGGTTTCATCTTCCTTCCCAATGTTTGCAGTCTTCAGTACATAATACACAGATGGGTGAGCTTCTTGAATTACATACGATCTGAACCAATTCGGAGAAATTTTTTTGGCAAATTTTCCTTGCCTAATGTGTAGCGCTATTTTAAGGACTTTGTCTCCCTCCTTAAATTTTTTGGGCTTTACTAGTTTGTTAAAGTTTGTGGCTAAGCTTTGTTTGTATTTGATTTGTTGTTGTAATGCATTTTCCCATTCTTCGTCGATGTATTCTAGCCTATCACCGAGCAACTAGTCCATGTCCTCTATTTGGAATCTTTTCCCTATTGCGAAGGCTACACAGGTGGAGACTATCTGTATCTTTTCCGGTAGCACCATCTCTTGACCATATACTAGAGAGTAGGGTGTTGCTTGTGTACTTTTCCTAATTATTGTATGATAAGCCCAAAGGGTTTCTGATAACTTCTTTGACCAATCCTTTTGATTACCACCACCATCTTGCTCAACATTCTCAATAAAGTCTTGTTCGTCACCTCTGCCTACCCATTTCCCTATGGGTAGTAAGTTGTAGACGTGCTTAATCTTGCCCCGTGTTGTCCTAATAAATCTCGGACTTCTTAATTCTTAATAGACAAGCCATTGATTGTTAAAACCCTCATAGGGACCCTAAACCAATGAACTATGTGTTGTCTGAGGAAGTTTGCTATGTTTTCTACGCAGATCCTTTATAAGGGTATTGATGAGGGCAGATTTGGCCCTCCTATGATATTGTGACACGTGGCGCCTCAGAACAAATAGGTGACACCCGAAACCACTCAGGAAACAACTTGCCAAGTTGATGGTGTCCAACCTAGCGGCCTGGCCCAACGCGACCTGGCGGCCTAGCGCATGCGCCGACCTGGCAACCTGCGAGACGTGCTCACCGACAAATTCGGCATGCATATTCTAACACTCCCACGATCCTTGGAAGTTGGCCCACGTGTCGAACAATCCGGAGGGTGGTCAACGTGCATGGCGGTTACCTCCGGGAATCTCGAACCACTTAGACGACCTCACAGAATTCTCGGATATGGTGCGTGAAGCCAACGCCAAACAATGCCTATATAAAGGCACCAACCCCAACGACTAGGAAGAAGGTAAGCGAGTAAGCAAATTCTAGCTCTCATACTTTGTGATTTTTAGCTCGTAGTCTACTATGAGAGTACTGACTTAAGCATCGGAGCGACCTCGTCGGGTTAGCCACCCCGGGTCCTCTGACATTTGGTTCCTTGCAGGTCTCTAAAGAGCAACGAAGCTCATCAATCCAGCTCGCCAACTCACAGGCAGCTCGCCACCTCATAGGCAGCTCGACACCTGGTCAGCCCGACACCTCAGAGGCAGCTCAGCACTTGGTCAGCCCGGCACCTCACAAGCAGCTTGGCACCTAGGCAGTTCGGCACCTCATAGGCAACTCGACACCTGGTCAGCCGGTACCTCACAGGCAGCTCGCCACCTGGTCATCTCAGCACCTCATAGGCAGCTCGACACTATAGTCAGCTCGCCACCTAGCCTACCCAGCTCGATTAAGCTCGGTAGCCAAAGTTCTCCACTTCGGCCTGAGTCATCGGCCACTTGGAAGCAGACCAAACGATGAGGTACTTAGCACAAAAAATTGGCCATCACCCAAAAAATTGATCCATCAGGTATCTCCCACTCTCTTAGCTTTGGTCTGTAGCCAAATCAAAACCTCTTTCTCTCTCTCTCTCTCTCTCTCTCTTATAGTATCGTTCTCCCTTAGTCTTTCTCCTGCCCCCTCTTTCATTCTTCTTATACAATATTAATAAGACCGTATAAAAGAACTAAAGGGACCAACCACTTGTACAATCAAGTTATAAATTTCTATCAAGTTGGTGTAAATTTCATATCCAAGAGTTTCTTGTGAATTTTTATCAAATTGGTGTAATGATTTTTGAACCATACCAAATTAGTCTCATGTTCTTTTATACGATCTGTTTAATGCCATATAAGTGTGTAAGAAAAATAAAAAAAGAATGAGAGAGGGAGCGGGAGAGAAAGTGAATGAGAGAGATTGGGGGAGAACGATAGGTAGAGAGAGAATAAGAGAAATTGATAAAAAGAACATAAATACAGAAACCTAAAAATCATATTTATTTATTTTCAAATCACACAATCATTGAGCAGAGAGAGGCGACTCTGAGAATGTGAGAGTGAGAGAGAAGAGAGAGAGAGAGAGAGAGAGAGAGAGAGAGAGAGAGAGAGAGAGAGGGAGTGTGAGATAAACTAAAAACCCTTTTTTTTTTATTTTTCAATCATCCAGCATTAAAGGGCAATTTTGGTACAAGCTTTTTGTTGTGTCCAACATGGATTAAGTCTCATGTTGGCAACAACCACATAAGCCTTCGATAACATGGTGGGGATTTTTATAATTTGAATTGTAGAGCTAGTTGTTAGAGTTTTGTTGGTTTTTGGACCAACCTGTAGCCTAATTTTAAATGTACAACTGACTCTGACTATAATTTTCCCTAATTTAAAACCAATCCGAAAGCAAAGCTAATTTCTTATCTAGATGGGTCAATGATCCAACTTTTCAAAGAAACCCATGATGTCAAAATTGAATATTAAATATGTAAAAAAAAGATAGAATACCAAAATTGAAAATGTACAGAATTTTGTCAAAAACATTTGAGAACATTTCTAATGTTATATATTCATCATATTAAATAAAAGTAATTATTAAAATAAAAGTTATTTTTATTTATGGTAGAAATGGAATACAAAATATAATAATAATAATAATAATAATAATAATAATAATAATAATAATAATAATAATAATTGTAATTGTTATTTTCTATAAGCATTTAAGTTTATTTTTAATCATATTGTCACTTTTTTTAATTTTCAATTTCTATCTTAACTATGATATATGTAAAATTCAAATAATTAATATGGAGAAAAATTTCTCAAGTACAATGCATGTACTTAATTACTACAAAATTTTATTAAAGCCAAACTCAAGTAACTAATTAATGTCGACATAAGTATGACTTCTTATTGAACAAATGGAAGCTTGAAGCAAATTGTTGTCATGGTAGCTGCCATTAAAGAGATCCATTACTCACATACTGATCTTGGAACAAAATAGTGTTAATGTATGAATCTAAGACAAAAGGAAGACAGTCTGGTACAATCATCTACTGGGAAAGTATCCAAGCAACACCAGACTGAAAATGGCCTGGTTAACTCTTGCCTGACTAACCATTAAATTTTTTGCTCAATACTGTCATCTGCTTTAGGCCTTGTGTTCATAAGAACCTGGGAATCAAAGTATTGAAACATTCAGATGTTAAAATTATTAAAAGAAACAATTAAGAGCCCACAAGCGTCATGAAGAACTCACCTTCCTAAGCATGGTATTTTCATTAATTAGAGTTGAGATTTTCTCCTCTAATTTGGAATTCCTGTCCTCCAACTCTTTTGCTCTTGACTCCAGATCACTGACATATATCTTCTTTCTTTCTCGGGCTTGTTGGGCTGACACCCTATTCCTCAATAACCTATTCATGCAGAATTATGATAAAGTAATTAGGCAAACACTTCATGTATGGCCTTATTATTAAAAAATAAAAAAAACACTTCATGTATGGCCTTATTATTAAAAAAAAAAAAAAAACACTTCATGTACTTTCAAGGGAGAATCGTGTTTGTATAGGTTACACATCATAGACAATGAAAATGTGGGAGCACCTGAGAAGATACTTTGATCATTATCCGGCCTTGATTTCATGTTCGATTCTGCTAAAATCCGGTACTTGGTAAAAATATTGACCTAGCGAAAAACCGTCCAATCTGGGTAGTTGAATCGTCGACCATTCGACCCAATTATCAGATCACTGGTTGTATTGTAAATGTATATACAAGTTTTTAAAAGCCATAATTTTGCACTTTGATATCTTATTAGGGTGATATTTTTTTTTTTATTTTGGATAACTTTTCAAGATATATGTATCTTAAAAGGCCAAAGGTGCATTGTCCTGTTATTTTCATCAAAAAATACTTTTTTTGACCTAAAAAATTGTAATTTTAATCAATTTTTTACAAGTAAAAAATAAAAAACTGAATTAAAATATAAATTCAATATAAAATAATGCATATTTTACATTTAGAATATAATTATATATACATTATTTATTGATAAAATATAACTATACATACATGCATGTATGCATGCATACATATATTATGTTTGCTGACATGGCATTATCTAACCCATTCTATCCGAAGGCAAAAGTGACCCACACATTTTTTTATACGGAGAAGTACGGATAGGTGCATTACAGAATTCTGATTTCCATTGCAGATCTACAACATTTCAAAAGGTCAATTACCCCCATCTTATGCATCGATGCCCGCTCAGAAATTGGCATCAATTATGAGCTGGCACCTACTCCAACTGTACTTTGTACCTATGAATAGACTTGGCAATTGGTTTGGGTGGGTCGGGTTCGGGTTGGGTCAAGGTACTTCGGGTTGATTTCGGGTTGGATTGTTAAATGCTAGACCCTAACCCTAAATGTTCGGGTTAGGGTTGAACCATGGGTCAATTCAGGTCATCCAAAAAATAATTGAAATTTAAAAAAATAAATAAATATTACATGAAAAATGTCAAAATTAAAAGAATTAACCTTAAAATTCAAAATATAAAATAAAAAATTTGAACATTTAACAATTTAAAGAGTAAACAATAAAAAGTAAAGACTAAATTGAAAAAATTAAAGAGTGGAAAATTCTAATAATGCATAAATAATCCTAATTAGACTTGACAATTGGGTCAGTGGGTTGATCCATGACCCAACCCAACCCAATCCAGTTTTTTTCGGGTTGGGTCGGGTCAGGTCATTTTCACATTCGGGTAGCTAAATATGAGACCCTAACCCTATTTTTTCGGGTTAGGTCGGGTCGAGTTTGTGGGTTAGGTCAACTTTTTGCCAGGTCTACCTATGAATACTGACCATGGGCTGAACCATCATTGTCCCTTTTTTTATACACCAACTGAAGACATCATTATTGGAAAACTATGGAAAGAATTGGTCAATAGAAAAGTCAACAAACGTTTTCATATTTATCTTTAGGTAAATATGAGATTCACAATAATGATACTTTTTCTTGATAAGCTTTTGAGTTATTTATTTAAAAAAGTTACCCTTATTTTAAACAGGAAAGTATGGACAGGTCCAATGCAGATTTCTGATTTTCACTACAGGTCTATAAATATTTAAAATGTCAGAAAACCCCATTCTATACACTAATACTTGCTCGTAAATTGGCATTAATTCCGAACTGGCATCTACCCCAACTATACTTTGGGCCTAAAAATTTTTACCCTGGGCTAAACCATCATTCTCCCGTCTCCTATGGGGAAAACTATAAATTTTATTAAGACAAAATGTCCATTAAATAAATAGATGTTAAAAAAAAAATACAAAGAGAAAAAATAATAAAAACAAGAAAGCACTTATTTGAACAGAAAATAATACAGTAAATACCTAGGTAATTAATCCACTTGAAAACAGTAAACTCCACAAGCAACCATTTCTTTACGAAAAAAATGGCTTTAACCCCTTCCAAACCAAGTCCGGATCTCCTGTCAATGATAACTCTGCCCATGCCTACCCACAATATACTACCCCCCCATGAATTTGGAACATCTTCCCCTGCATAATATTATGCAGAGGGTGAGCTCCATGTGTGACTGCGATAATTGTGGGCAGAGTTCTCGTGGACAGGAGATCTGGACTCGAACCGAACCATCTGTATTTGTTATTGCTCTGTTGTCCACCAACTAATACAGTTCACTAAGGAAGCAGATGTTCATTTCGCATACACCCAGGAAAAAGGGGATTAAAGGCGGTGGGGGACTCATGGAGCTCCAGCCTCCATTGTCAAACCACTTTCATTGAATTCTTTAGTAGCCATATCATCATACTTTGAGAAAGTATTGAAATGAAGATGTACACTTTTTTCTTCTTTATTTTTGTTGTTTATGTTTTTTTAATTAAATCTCAGTTTGGAAAGAGTATAAATACAAATATATATAATATAAATACATACAAAATAATATAAAAAGCGAAATTTTATACTCTAAAAATTTGAATTTGTACTCCTTCCCAACTGAGCCTAAGCAAACTGTAGGCATTGTTTACATCCATTCTTTTAAAAGGTTTAAGTGTTGAGGTGTGAGTCTTGAGGCCAGCACACAAATTTTGGTTCAATGCTTAATCCTCGTATCAAAGTTATAAGGCTTAATCATTTGTTTGAATGAGGCATAAATCCCAAACCTTAAAAGCATGAAGTAATACCTTGAGATGTAAAAAGGCATAAGTTTCAAGTACCAATAATTATTTAGTGATTTGATGCAAAAAAATATATATTCTATGCATTTTTATAGTTCAAAATACATGGA